TAAATTTCCATTCTACTTTAATTCTCTAAACTCTTACAATCACTGGTTCAAATAATAGATAGATAAACATGTATTAACCAAATTTGGATTTACTAAGCCTATTTTTGGCCCCCATTTTTCTAAAAACTAATTTTTCCAAAAATAATTTTCATCCACACATTCTCTCGTAAAATAATTTTACACGTAAACTGAAAACTTTTCCTTATTTTCTAACTACGGATTCTTCAAAAAAATCATTATTAAAAAACACATTTCTTTACAAATGGGGCTCAAAAAGGAGTCGTGTCGCACAACAGATGTAAAACTTTACTATAATCTAAAATTTCCAAATAGTAATTTTACATTTTCTCAATTAATTCAATTTCATCTCATTCAACAAAAGATTTGATAACATATAAATTACTATATGAGAAATAAACACGTTGATTTTCAACAAGATTTATTCTTCTAACAATAATTTTTACATTTTCTCAATTAATTCAACAAAAAAAAAATTAATAACATTTGAATTCATATATGAGAAATAAACACATTAATTTTCAATAATAATTATTCTTTTAACTATAAGACCAATTTGGTAGGTTCCAAAATTAGATGGGCATGAAAGCTGTATTGGGCCATGAATAAACTGTTCATGTGTCAGCCTGGCACAATATGCTTTAAAAGTTTGGCATGGTAAGCCTGAAACACCCGCATGGGTTGAAGAAAAGCAGGTCATGACAAACTTTGCCCCTCTAATAATAATATAGATATAAGTAGTGTGAAATGTTAAAGATGCAATTCTAATGTCAAACAATGGAACAAATCAAATCATGTTGTATCCCACATTGATACATGTTAAACTAGAGCATTGAAATGTGCCTGCATAATGAGGCATGTTTCATTATTTATTGATTTATCATTGTCGAACTTCGTCTTGTAGATAAGGAATGGAGAAAAATCCCAATTTTATATTCTACATGTCATAGCCGAAACTACTTTACATTACCACCATTTGTCTAAATGATGAGTTGACTTGTTAGTATAGCTCATAAAACCCGTGCATAAAATCAAGAGGAATATTGATTAGTGGGGAAAAAATAAATGAACACACCAATAAAAGTTTACAAAAAGAGAATGTAAACTAAAAGGTCAATGTTGATTGGGAAATCGAATAAAAGGCCTAGTTTTTGAAAGAAAAGGGCTTAATTGTCTGTCGTTAGCAATTTGATAACCCAAAATAACCTTGTATAACTGTTAAAACTCTCTGGAAAACAGACATTCTAGCTACTTGATCAATTGCAACAACTCTTCATCGGCAGGGAGAGAATCAATGGAAAGAAAATGAGAGAATTTAAATTATTTTGTGGATGTATGTAAAAATTGAAGAAAGAATTAGAGAATTTGCAGGGAGAGAATCAATGGTAAGAGATTGAGAGCACGGTGACAGAGATTTTAATGAATTGTCGAAAGCATGCATGTATTTTATGTGCAATAATATGCGATAGATCCTGAATTATGTTCCAGACATGATTATTAATATTATATTTATCTTAAACGAGGGACAGATACGCCAAAACTACACATGGAATGTTGTGATGACTAAGGATCTAAGTACTTTATGTCTTCCTCTCCCCCTTGTTATGAAGCACTAACACTCCTATTGAGTGGCATGACAGGGTCAGAAAATATTTTATGAAGAGTCTAAGCTTGTCACTCGAGACAAGCTCAGACCTTGGCCCAACAGAAATTGTAACATCATGGGGATATCT